GTCATCAGGAAAGGCTTAGTGCTTTCCCGCCCTGAATATAGGATTATTCCTCTAGACACTCTCCTTTTGGTTGCTAAAGGCCTTGAATCTGCACTACAGCCACCCCAAAGGAAAAGTAATCCCCTTTTGTTTTCCTTTTATAGTCCTACCACCAGACCTGCCACAGCACCCGCAGGGTATCCCGTGCCAGCTACACAGGTACAACACCATACACACACACCTAGGCCTCAGACCAGAGATTGCTTTAATTGTAACCAATTAGGTAATTTCAGGAAAGATTGTCCACACCCCAGAGTGCCTAGACAACAACAGCCGCCCACTAGACCACCTAATCCTGTGTTCAACTATGCTATGTACCCCAATGCCCCTGCAATCACACATGGTTGCCTCCAGCCAGGTTACCCTCCACAGGAATATCCTCAAGCACATACTTCATATTACCCTCCTCAGGAATATACCCAAGCTGCCTGTCAGCCACCTCCAGCTGATGATCACCCTCCACACCGCAGCTATGTTCACAATTCCCCTGATAATCATTATACAGATGATTATCAACAAGATGACCATCCTGTACCCAGTCAACATCGCCCTACACGCCAGACCCAGCAGCCCAGTGGCTCCACTGCACCCACATGTCACTACACTGGCCCTGATAAATCTCATCTAGACCTCTTACAATAGGTAACTGGCAAACCTGTGTCTAACACCCCTGTCATGGCAGTGTCTACAGGGGACAAAGGGGGGCCTCTCGCTACAGTAGTCCTACCTGTAGAGGGTCATCCTACTTTTTTAGTTGACACAGGTGCAGCCCGCAGTGTTCTCAGAGAACAAGACCTGCCTGACTCATCTTACCTATCCGACACAGATGTCTCTTGTGTAGGTGTCGATGGTATCCCTAGAAACAACCCATTAACTAAGCTCTTGCGGGTGGGTTCAGACATTCTCTCACGGTTTGTTGTCTCTTCTACTGGTCCAATTAACCTATCAGGTGCTGATGTTCTGTCCCGTCTTCAAGCTTCTATCTCCTTCACCGCTGATGGCCAGGTTCAATTATTAACCCCCCTTTCTCGCAAAGATACTTCTGTTCTTTGCTCTTTGCCCCTACTGTTACACATGACTTCCCCCTCCGAGGAGGTAAGGGTCCCAGATGCCCCCAGTGCCCAGGATAGGGTCCCAACCAAACTTTGGTCTACAGGCCCAGATGACATTGGATGCCTAAGAGTCCCATCTGTGGTTGTCACGCTACTAAAGGGAGCTAATCCACCACGAAGACCACAGTACCCATTAAAGCCTGCTCAAGCCCTTGCCATCTCCAAACAAGTTGAAAGTCTGTTGGCAAAAGGCGCTCTGGTAAAGTGTGTGTCAGAGTGTAACACCCCTCTATTTCCAGTGAAGAAGAAGACTGAAAAAGGCCAACCTGACCAATACCGTATGGTTCAAGACCTCCGCGCTGTTAATGATGTCACCAACCGAGACACTGCTGTTGTCCTGAATCCACATACACTGTTGTCACAAGTCCCTCCAACAGCTAAATTCTTCACTGTGGTTGATCTTGCAAACGCCTTTTTCAGCGTGCCCTTGGATCCCTCTTGCCAATATCTGTTTGCCTTCACTCATGATCACCAACAGTACACTTGGACTGTCATGCCTCAAGGTGCACAAAATTCCCCTACTCAATTCGCCAAAGCTATGTCAACTGTCTTAGAACCTTGGCAGAAGTCTCACCATGACGTGGTCCTGCTCCAGTATGTGGATGATTTACTCCTCTGTGTGGATGATCTTCCAACTGCTGAACAAAATTCCGAAGATCTCCTTTGTTTCCTCGCTGAAGAAGGATGTAAAGTCTCCAGAACGAAACTTCAGTGGTGCCGGCCCTCTGTGGTCTTCTTGGGACATTGCTTTTCCCGAGGCGGTCCTTCTTGTTCACGTGCTGTTTTTGCTGCCAGTGCCCTGCCGGACAAAACTAATGACTTTGTTCTCGGACATAAACTCACTGTTCTTGCTCCCCATGATATCATGGCCATCCTGAATCAAATCCAACTGAAACATCTCTCCTCCCAGAGACACCTCCGCCTTCAAACCTCCCTCCTCTTGCCTGATAACCACACTCTACAAAGATGTTACTCTTTGAACCCAGCCACTCTTCTGCCACTTCCCAAGGGGGGAGTACCACAATACCGGTACAGTCTGGACATAAATCCTGATGTTCATATGGACCTTCAAGTGAAAAAGCCCATGGTTCTACATGACGAACAACCTGAGGGCTACTTACATTGCACCCTGTGGTTCAGGAATACCCCAGGTCCTGACCCATATTATGAAGAAGAATTATTTAGCCTGGTGGAAAAACGTATCACCCTGACAGACCTGTTCTGTGACTCCAGAGGAAATACTGTTATATTGGTCTACCTGCCAATGGAGGTATAACATTTATACCACCACTGGGAGGTGGCAGTTCCTCATATCTCTTTCACCAAATCTCCAAATCTCTCATGGAAAGAACTCAGCCCAATGGCCAAAACATGGAGTACCGCAACTCAAGAACAGCTCACAGTGACAGGGGTCACTAAAAGGACCATTAATTGCAAAATAGTCGGTTACCCTCGATATCACACAGAGATATGTGAAGACATCCCTCCTACAGAACAGGACCCGGATGCCCCTCATGACTGTTTTGAACAGATGAAAATGGAGACAACCCATCTCCCAACGGTGCACGAGGCTGCTCTGCCAGATCCTGACTTCACCCTGTTTGTGGATGGTTCTAGATTTGCCGATGTACAGGGACAATATCATACTGGATATGCTGTCACCACAGAAGACCGAGTACTCCAAGCATCTTCACTTCCATCATCTAAGTCAGCACTAGAAGCCGGACTAATAGCCCTTACAGCAGCATGCAAGATGTCTGAAGGGAAACGTGTTAATATCTATACAGACTCAAGGTATGCCCTGGGCGTAGCGCATGATTTTGGCTTAATCTGGAAAACAAGGGGGTTTCTTACAGCAGCAGGTACTCCGGTGAAACATGGCGCAGCTATCAATGAATTAATGGATGCCTTACTGCTCCCTGAAGAGGTGGCAATATTGAAGGTAAAGGCCCACCGGAGATTGAATTCAGAAGAAGCATGTGGCAATTACTTAGCCGATCAGGCTGCTAAAGATGCGGCACGCCAGTGTCGGGAAGTGGACAGAAGAGTGCCCGTTGAACAGACTCCTATTTACACTATGCAAACCCAACCTACCGATCTCAAGTTCCTGAGAGAACAACAGGCCGCTGCCACCCCTCAGGAAAAACAAAGTTGGAAAGATAAAGAGGCAACCCTCCAGAATGAAGTGTACACAATCAACCTCAAATTCTGTCTACCCAAGAATATGTACCCAGCTGTCGTTCAGTGGGCCCATGGACCAGCCCATTTATCCAAGCACCTCATGAACTCCCTGATTGATAAATATTTTGAGGCACCCGGAATCACTACTTTGACAAGAAACTACTGCAGATCCTGTACTATCTGCGCCAGATGTAATCTGGGAAAAATAATTAAAGCCGCACCAAACCATTTGACCAAGCCACAGTACCCTTTCCAAAGGATCCAAATTGATCATATCCAAATGCCAAAAAGTGGCTGGTATGAATATGCACTGGTCATAGTGAATATGTTTTCAGGATGGCCAGAAGCTTTTCCTGTCACTAATCTCACTGCGAAGACCACAGCAAAGCGACTACTTACCGAAATCATCTGCAGATATGGAGTTCCTGAGGTGATTGAAAGTGACCAGGGGACGTCCTTCACCGCGTTGCTAACCAAGGAAATCTGGGCAGCACTGGGGGTGACCCTTGCATTCCACACACCCTATCACCCACAGAGTAGTGGTAAGGTAGAACGCATGAATGGCACCTTGAAAGCCAGAATGCTTAAGATGGCCCAAGAAACTAACCTACCCTGGCCGGAGATTTAGCTTATCCCCCTACGAGATTTTATTTGGTACAGCACCCAGGTTAGGCTGTTATTTTCCTCAACACCTTCAAATTCAGTCAGATGCAATGGTAGATTATAAAACTGCACTCTTTCGTGCCTTGACCAAAATCCATGCGCAGGTGTTTTCTTCTATTCCAGATCCAGAATCATATACAGGCACACATAAACTCCTTCCTGGTGACTGGGTTATGGTCAAGAAATTCCTGAGAAATCACACTCGTGAGCCAAGGTTTGATGGTCCATTCCAAGTCCTATTGACCACATCTACCTCGGTAAAATTGGCTGGGAAGAATACCTGGATACACGCCTTGCACTGTAAGAAAGTTCCTGATCCAGAGGAAGCAGATCCCGCTAAACTATTAGCATACTGTGTCTATTTCTGCTGCTAGGCCTATTAAAGGCCCAACAAGTTGCTATCACCAAAGATAATCGTGTTTACACATTCTGGTATAACTCTTCAAACACACATGTAGCTACTTTTACCTTTGATTACTGTGATATTGTTCCTTGTACTTTTCCACAATCACAACACTTAGCAATATACAAAGACATACCCAATAGAAAGGACCCATACATTTGTGTGACAGGTGACCATTGGGGACATCACTGTAGTACCTGGAAAGCAGCAGGTTGGAACATAGGCCGACCATGGGGCTACAGAGCACAAAGCGCTTTGGATAGGGTGGACAGACATGGGAAACCCTTATTACACAGAATGACCTTATGTAAGCCAACAGGGTCTACCCCAACGAAACTCACCTTAAACATAGAACATCCCAGCCCAGGAGACACTGGAGAGTACGTAATGGGGATGTACTGGAGAGGGGGTAGCTCATATAACAAGTTGGGGACCTTCTATTTACAAGACATGCATACATAGCCTGACTGGGTAGACTCTACACACATGATCACGAACCCTCTAAAACCACACATTAAAACTCTTAAGGACATGGTAGCAATTGCCAATCCTACATTCGAGGACACTTTGGCTGTGAAGACCGGTTTTTCAGATACCAACCTATGGCTCGAGTGGATAAGGTATAATGCTAATTCACACAATAACACTAACCGTTATGTCTGTGGCGGGGCCAGACCCCATCTGGGTACAGTGCCTTTTAATCTACCCCCCGATGTTGAGATGTGTTTTCTAAGCCTCTGTGTACAATCAGCCACAAACTCATCAGTATGTGAATCATGGAAAAAGGTATATCCAATAACTCAAGGGAATCTCAGGCCACCTGATGGAATCACCGTATATCCAGGTAATTACACTTGCTACACTATACATGGAACCACGGGTAAATTTGTGGGTAGTTTCCCTCCCGGCTACTGTGCCACCTATCGGACACCTCCCACTACCTTATTGGTAAATCAAGTCAAGTCCTTGGGAGACATTTATTGGCTATGTGATGCAACTCAGATCTAAAATGACTGGCCTGTAGTGGGGAGAATGCACTCTGACCAAAGCCATCATGCCTATACATATAATTTCTGATAACCACCAAGGCCCACTTGATTCCCCACACACGTAATTCAGGATAAAAAGAGAAACCCCTATGCAAGGTAGTTTCGACCCACATATATATATCGATGCCATAGGTGTCCCAAGGGGGATGCCAAACGAGTTCAAGGCCAGAGACAGTGGCGTACACATGACCCATGGGGCCCCGGTGCGAAAATTGATCCGGGCCCAAGGGGGCTGCAACACATGGCGTTGGGCACCTGGTCGCAGGGGTTACCCCTGCCACCGCGGTATGTACGCCAGTGCATGCAGATGCACACACACTTAAAGGACCACTCTAGGCACCCAGACCACTTCAGCTTAATGAAGTGGTCTGGGTGCCAGGTCCAGCTAGGGTTAACCCATTTTTTCATAAACATAGCAGTTTCAGAGAAACTGCTATGTTTATGAATGGGTTAAGCCTTCCCCTATTTCCTCTAGCGGCTGTCTCATTGACAGCCGCTAGAGGCGCTTGCGTGCTTCTCACTGTGATTTTTCACAGTGAGAGCACGCCAGCGTCCATAGGAAAGCATTATGAATGCTTTCCTATGTGACCGGCTGAATGCGCGCGCAGCTCTTGCCGCACGTGCGCATACAGCCGACGGGGAGGAGAAGAGGAGGATTGGAGGAGGAGAGCTCTCCGCCCAGCGCTGGAAAAAGGTAAGTTTTACCCCTTTTCCCCTTTCCAGAGCTAGGCGGGAGGGGGCCCCTGAGGGTGGGGGCACCCTCAGGGCACTATAGTGCCAGGAAAACGAAGGACCACTACAGACACCCAGATCACATCAGCTCAATGTTGTCTGGGTGTCAGGTCCCTCTAGTTTTAACCCTGCAGCTGAAAACATAGCAGTTTCAGAGAAACTGCTGTTTCACTGAGGGTTAATCCAGTCTCTAGTGGCTGTATCACTGACAGCCGCTAGAGGAGCACACTGAACGTCCATAGGAAAGCATTGAGTAATGCTTTCCTATGGGCGGTTTGAATGCATGCGCGGTCGCATTCGGAGCTGAGAGGCTGAGGGATCCCCAGCGCCAAAGGAGTCCGGCGCTGGAGAAAGGTAAGTGCTGAAGGCACACACACACTTACAGACGTATACACACTAGCTAACAGACACACAGTCAGCGACAGACATACATACACACTCACTTACAAAACATACACTCTCATTGACAAACACACACTCACTAACAGACATCAAACAGACTCACTAACACACACAGTAACACACTCACTGACACTCACTAGCAGACACTCACACTCACTCTAACACTCACACTAACACTCACTAGCAGACACACACACTAACACTCACTAGCAGACACTCACACTAACACTCACACACACTCTAACACTCACTAGCATACACACACTAACACTCACTCTAACACTCACTCTAACACTCACACTAACACTCACACACACTCACTAACACTCACACACACTCTAACACTCACTAGCAGACACACACTAACACTCACTCTAACACTCACTCTAACACTCACACACTAACACTCACTCTAACACTCACACACACTAACACTCACACACACTCAAACACTAACACTAGTTTTTGTTTTTTTTTAAATGTAATCCCCCCAGCCTCCTCACCTTTTGGAGTGCTGGGGGGATTCCCTGGGGTCCAGTGGTGCTGCTGGGCTCCCGGGCGGGCGGGTGGCCAGCCGAGCAGGCGGGCGCGCGAGGGAGCACTCAGTGCTTCCTCTTCAGCTCCCTCACGCGCCGCGTAGGGATGCCGGCGCCGGAAGATGACGTCATCTTCCGGCTTCGGCATCAGTGCGGTGCGCGAGGGAGCTGAAGAGGAAGCACTGAGTGCTCCCTCGCGCGCCCGCCTGCCTGCCCGACCGGCCACCCGCCTGCCTGGGGTCAGCAGGGCCAGCCTCGGGGGGTCAGCAGGGCCCCCCAGGGCCCCCCAGGGGAAGAGGCTGGCCCTGGGCGTACATACCGGGTCGCAGGGGCGGCCGGGCCCCCTGGTGGGCCGGGCACGGTCGCAGCCGCGACCCCTGCGACCCTGGTATGTACGCCACTGGCCAGAGATGAGGTTGCGGCAGGATTCGAATCCTTGATCCCACTCATCACCGCTAACAAGAATGTTAACTGGATTAATTCTATCTATTATAATCAGCAACGTTTTGTCAATTATACTAGAGATGCCCTTCAAGGCTTGGCAGAACAATTGCAGGCTACCTCCCAAATGACATTCCAGAATCGAATGGCCTTAGACATGTTCCTAGTAGAAAAGGAGGTTGTGTGTAAAATACTCCCCGACACTATGACATGCTGTACCTTCATCACAGATAATACAGGCCCCAATGGTAAAGTAACCATGGCCATAGAGAAATTAGAAAGTCTCTCTGACGAATTAAAAAAGAACTCAGGGGTCTTCAATTCATGGGACAGATGGGTGGGATGGATGAGTGGATGGCAGAGAGTTCTCTTTCAAGTAGGTATGGCAGTTCTTACGGCAGTGATTCTCCTCCTCTTCCTGGTTTTCTGCGTGATGCCCTGGGTGCAAAGGTCCTTACAAAAGACTGTAGATCAGACCATTGACCGCACCACACCTACATTCCTACATCAAGATAATGACGATATAGACTGTGACACCCCGCACACACCACTTCAGTCCCACCACCTCAAAAGGACAACTACTTCTTTATAGGGACAGCATAGGGAGAGCGTCTGTCTCCACGGGTAGGAGTCTGACGCGGGAGATGTAGTGTGTTAGCCACTACGGGATACCCGCGCAGTGAAGCGTTCGAGGCCTGTTCAAACAGATGAGCTGCAGCCAAGTAGGGACATTATTAGGGTCAGTTAGTAGTTGTCTCTTTAGTAAATAGTCATTTTAAGGGGGGACTGTTGTGGACAAAAATATTAACCCAAGTCATATTAATAAAATGCCTATTTACTCAGCATAACCACAATCAGCATTATTCAACCTTATATGTGATTTACCTAAAATGGCCGCTAGGGAGTTTCCCTTTGACATCGACTAACACCCTCATTAACAAGATGGCGCTGGAATCTGGGGGAGACCTCCGAGATCCAAGTGACATCACACCTGGTAGGAAGGGCACTAAATGAACCACTTAACACCTAACCAATTATTGATGTATTATTCCATGTTATCTCTGACAATGCATATGATGTAATTTTTTATTTTTGGGGGGACATTTCGTCCCCCCTGAATAAACATTCCTCAAGTTTTTCATTAACCCGAAACCTGTGTCTGGTGTGAATTACTTCAGGAGCGTGCATGCATCTTTTTAAATTTGGCCGGGGGCAGATACGCAAGATAATCAATTAATTGATTGATTCCACATCACATATATTTATATAATTTTTGTATTATTTTTACATTGTTTTATTTATTTCTTTTTATTTATATTTTATAATAGTATATATACAATATATATAGTTATTATATATTATATATACGTGTGTAATTTAATTATGTATATTTTTATATTAATATATGTATATATTAATATAAAAATACACTTAGTATGACATTTTATATATATAAGATATATAGACATATATTATATAGATATAATACATGTCTATATATCTTTTATATATATATATATATATATACAGTGGGACCTCGGTTTACAAATCTAATGCGTTCTCTGGGACGTTTCTTATTGCGAAAAATCTGTAAACCGAAACGCGGTTTCCCATAGGAATGCACTGAAAACCAATTAATCCGTTCTGGAGGTCAGAAAAAAATCAAAATGAGCTGGCATGGAAACCAACCCACAATGCAGAACACACAATAAAAGGCATGCAAACGACAAAGCTCAGCTACTTACTTTTCCACAGCTTGAAAAATGCACAAAAAAGTCCCAAAACAATTGCAAACAATTTCCAGAATGGCTCCAAAACTCGATGCAAAAGCCGCTCAACACCTCCACACTCAACGCCACATGCTACCCACAGGCTCCAGAATGTAGGGGGCGGTGCTATAAACCTCTCAGGTGCAGTGCTTCCTGGGGAAACTTGCTTGGTATTGTGAAAAAAAATTGTAAACCGAGGCATTATTTTCAATGGACTTTAATTTGTAAACCGAAAATTATGTTAACCGAGGCGTTTGTAAACCGAGGTCCCACTGTATGTCTATATATATATATATATATATATACCAGTGGAAAAAGAGTGCACTCAAGAGGACTTTGAAAAAAATATACTTAGTTTATTCACAAACGTGTAGAATTTTCAAAACGATCAAGTCGACGTTTCAGTCCCCGAAGGACTTTTATCAAGACAGTGAAAAGCGGGAAAAGTAAGGATTTAAATATAGTGAGATCAAATTCTGATTGGAGAGTAAGAATGAGGAAAAAAAGAAAGGTAGTGATGTCATAGGTGAAATGTCAAAGTTAAGAGGGCATCACCCCGAATAGGGTTTAAACCAGTAAAATGTGAACTGGTGAAAAGGATATAAAATACATAAGCAACCGAGATGAAGAAAATCCACAAGCTCAGGTGCCAAATAAAAAACAAGGATATAAATAAAGGATCAAAACGCCACCCAAGGTACAGATCGACTAAATGTCTAAAAAGGTTACATACACAAGAGTATAATTAGAGTACACTTTTGAGAAAGCTTCGGCAAAACGCGTCAAGTGAGGAAGAATTTTGGACTTTTATACAGGACTGGTTTTATAGTTTATTATTCACTTTTCACTTATTGTATTAAAGTATATATATTTTTTAAACTATCCAGTCATTCCTTTTGTCCTCCTTTCTATCCAATACTGCTTTGCTGCTATACCTTGGTCCACTATATCCCAAGGTGGGGATTATTCCACCTGAAATTCTCCAAACTAGAGCAGGCCGTTGCTCTAGTATAAGTAAGTAGGATCATCCACTTTTTTTTTTTTTTTCCAATATTTTATATTTACGTACTATACCATGTGGTGTATTTTACTCTTGTTTTTCATGTAACTAATATTTACACCTATAAATTCACCAACGGTCTTGAACCTCAAGAAATCCATAGACGGGGATTATTCCGTCCAGGCTCTTAACACCGAGCTGATATAGCTCCTCAAAGTGTGAGTGTGAATATAACACCTTTGTTCTTGTGGAATTATATCGTTCATACATACTGTACCATTATTTGTATTTTTGTTTCTCTCTTTTTTTAAGTTACTCTGCTGGCCAGTATTTCTACAAAACGTATGTACATTTTCTGATTTTTAGCGCTGTTCACCTTTCTATTTTATCTATAATTAGAGTAGGGTAGCTAGATCCTATAGAGGAATTAAGGTAACAAGAGGAGATATGATATAACTAGTGTATACAAAGTCACACAGGAGGGGTAGAAAGTATCAAATTCTAATTACACATAGTTCTAAATACATGTAGCGTATCTACTGGGATGCCGAACATATAATAAGAATACTCTAAAACTAAAAATAAACATAACCCTGAGTATGTAAAAAAGTCATTATCTTTTCGAAATGAAGCAATTCGGAGGATTAATCTCATTCAATCCTCCTGGATATGTTGTTCCAAGTGTAAAGATCCAAAAAGCTTCTCTTTGAAGGAGCAAATTGTTTGTCACCTCCCCTCAAAGGGATCGGGACATGTTCAATGCCCATAAATTTCAGGGTTGGCAATGTGTGTCCCATTTCAAGAAAATGTTTAGCTATGGGGGTGGATGCAATACCACTCGAGAGTGCTATTCTGATAGTCGATCTATGTCCCCTCATTCGTTGCCTCAAATCATTCGAAGTTTTCCCAATGTACATAAGACCACAAGGACATAAAATACGATAAACAACGTGTGTAGTAGTACACGTAATCCGTTGTCGTATCTTGTACTCTTTCCCTGAATGTGGATGAAGAAATGATTTTCCTGGGGTCATATTGTTGCAAGCCGTACATTTCAAACAACGAAAGCAACCAGGGTTCTGATGTGTAACACATCTTGATGCTTGTATATCAGTATGGACCAAGTAGTCTCTTAGGTTCCTGTTTCTCCTGTAGCTGATCATGGGGTTTTGTTGGAATATCACTGGCAGTGTCTTGTCTTTCTTAAGTATCTCCCAATTACCCCGTACCATTTTTGACAAGTCACGAGATTGTGAATGGAAGGTTTGAGGGAAAATTAATCTAGTTTGTTTATTCTTAGTCATAGGTCCATCAGTGTATAGTTGTAATGCCTTTGAGTATGCTCTTTCCAGAGTGTACCTTGAATATATAAAGGACAGGTTCAGTTAGGAAAAGTAAGATAGAACAGTTATCCACCTGTGCCGTTATTCTTGTGTGTCCTTAAAAGTAGTAGGGTTGCTATCCTTTTTCAGGATAGTTATTGTTCTCTTGATCTCCTCTCTTTTGAGAAGGTGGTAAAGGAAGATAGTAGTAAGAAAGAACTGTAATGCTAAGTGGTCTACGTTACACAAGAGGTGAAGGTGCAGATCAGGTAGGGCCCCCCTACGTTCCTGCACTGGGTCTACTTTTTTCCATGTGTTCCCATAGGCTAATCCCAGATCCTGTTCTCCCGTATTAACTGATGTTCCTTAACAGGCTGGGGGGTAGAGTGATTCTCTTGATGTGATTGAAGTTGTTTGTATGGTCTCTCTGGTGATAGTCTCTCACGTGTTGTTTAATCTAATCCATGAGGTCACTATTGACCCATGGCTCCCACACCTTTTTAAATTTTTTGTGTGTACCTCTAACCTGTGCAGTGAGTTTGTCCATCAGATGCATGTCTTTTACTTTCGTGAGGACCGTGTTCAGAGTGGGGACGTCTGTGTGTAGCCAGCCCTGAGCTATGGCCTTCCTAGACGCTAGGGTTATTTTGTGTAGTAGTTGTTGTTCGGATCTAAGCCAGTCTGGCCTCGACAATACAGGGAGTGCAGAATTATTAGGCAAATGAGTATTTTGACCACATCATCCTCTTTATGCATGTTGTCTTACTCCAAGCTGTATAGGTTCGAAAGCCTACTACCAATTAAGCATATTAGGTGATGTGTATCTCTGTAATGAGAAGGGGTGTGGTCTAATGACATCAACACCCTATATCAGGTGTGCATAATTATTAGGCAACTTCCTTTCCTTTGGCAAAATGGGTCAAAAGAAGGACTTGACAGGCTCAGAAAAGTCAAAAATAGTGAGATATCTTGCAGAGGGATGCAGCACTCTTAAAATTGCAAAGCTTCTGAAGCGTGATCATCGAACAATCAAGCGTTTCATTCAAAATAGTCAACAGGGTCGCAAGAAGCGTGTGGAAAAACCAAGGCGCAAAATAACTGCCCATGAACTGAGAAAAGTCAAGCGTGCAGCTGCCACGATGCCACTTGCCACCAGTTTGGCCATATTTCAGAGCTGCAACATCACTGGAGTGCCCAAAAGCACAAGGTGTGCAATACTCAGAGACATGGCCAAGGTAAGAAAGGCTGAAAGACGACCACCACTGAACAAGACACACAAGCTGAAACGTCAAGACTGGGCCAAGAAATATCTCAAGACTGATTTTTCTAAGGTTTTATGGACTGATGAAATGAGAGTGAGTCTTGATGGGCCAGATGGATGGGCCCGTGGCTGGATTGGTAAAGGGCAGAGAGCTCCAGTCCGACTCAGGCGCCAGCAAGGTGGAGGTGGAGTACTGGTTTGGGCTGGTATCATCAAAGATGAGCTTGTGGGGCCTTTTCGGGTTGAGGATGGAGTCAAGCTCAACTCCCAGTCCTACTGCCAGTTCCTGGAAGACACCTTCTTCAAGCAGTGGTACAGGAAGAAGTCTGCATCCTTCAAGAAAAACATGATTTTCATGCAGGACAATGCTCCATCACACGCGTCCAAGTACTCCACAGCGTGGCTGGCAAGAAAGGGTATAAAAGAAGAAAATCTAATGACATGGCCTCCTTGTTCACCTGATCTGAACCCCGTTGAGAACCTGTGGTCCATCATCAAATGTGAGATTTACAAGGAGGGAAAAGAGTACACCTCTCTGAACAGTGTCTGGGAGGCTGTGGCTGCTGCTGCACGCAATGTTGATGGTGAACAGATCAAAACACTGACAGAATCCATGGATGGCAGGCTTTTGAGTGTCCTTGCAAAGAAAGGTGGCTATATTGGTGACTGATTTGTTTTTGTTTTGTTTTTGAATGTCAGAAATGTATATTTGTGAATGTTGAGATGTTATATTGGTTTCACTGGTAATAATAAATAATTGAAATGGGTATATATTTTGTTTTTTGTTAAGTTGCCTAATAATTATGCACAGTAATAGTCACCTGCACACACAGATATCCCCCTAACATAGCTAAACTAAAACAAACTAAAAACTACTTCCAAAAATATTCAGCTTTGATATTAATGAGTTTTTTGGGTTCATTGAGAACATGGTTGTTGTTCAATAATAAAATTAATCCTCAAAAATACAACTTGCCTAATAATTCTGCACTCCCTGTATGTTTACCCATGGTTCAAGTTCCAGTCCCCTTTGGAATATTTGGGCGATTAGACCCTTCACTGCCTGCCAAAATTGTTGTATTTTAGGACACTCCCACTACATGTACGTATGTTCCCTTCATACTGCAGCCCCTCCAGCAGAGATCTGTAGGTGATCTCCTCATGTGGTAGAGCTTGACTGGTGTGGTGTACCACCGGAACATCAATTTGTACGATTGTTCCTGCAAGGAGACACATATGGATGTTGTGTTATTTGCTTCCCTTATGTCTTGCCACTCTTCGCCTTCTCTTTTTTTGCCAAATGAATGTGTCTATGGCCTTTTGCAGTCAGGTAAGGTCTGTTTTAGTTATCGGGATTGGCAGCATCTGAAACAGGAACAGTACCCTCGGAAGGACATTCATTTTAATAATATGAATCCTTTCCGATCCACGAAATCGGCTTGTCTATGTCTCTTAGTATATTGTTAAATAAAGGGGTGTAGTTCAGTTGATGTAGCTTTGCCGGATCGGCTGAAAGTCGGACCCCCAAGTACTTTATTGAATGTTGTTTGATTGGTACCTGGTGTAGTTGTTGGATTTCGTCTATGTCTATTTTAGTGAGGCCTATGGAGAGTGCCCTAGATTTTTCGATATTGACTTTATATCTGGAGATTGGACTGTATGCTGTGAGGATGTCTCTGAGCCTCAATGGATTCTTTTGGCTGGGTAAGTGATAATAATACATCGTCTGCATATGCAGATACTGTGAATTGCTGTCCTCCTACTTCCACACCGTGGATCTGTGGATGCTGTCTAATCGCTTGCAATAGTGGTTCCATGGAGATAACAAAAAGCAGGGGTGATAATGTACGTATCTGGGAAACCTATATGTTGAAGGAGGGAGAACAGATAGGGCCCCTTGTCCCCTGTTGAAAGCCTTTTCGGCGTCTAGTGATAGCATAAGTGTGGGGATTTTTGACGTTCCCTGTCTCTAGATCAAGTCGATGTTTCTGTGGGTGTTTTTGAATAATTGTCTCTCGGGGATAAACCCGACTTGATCTGCCTCGATTAGCTTGGATTTAGTCTTGTTGCTAGTATTTTTGCAAAGATTTTTGAGTCGTGATTGATTAATGCTATGGGTCTGTAGTTTTCAGGTCTTTGGGTATCCCTGTCTGGTTTGGGGAGTAGTATTATGTTTGCTAAGGACATGTGTCTGTCTGGGGTTCCGCCCTCTCGTAGGTCGTTGTATAATTGTTCTAGTTTCGGGGTTAGTTCCTTTCTAAAGATTTTGTAGTAGCTCCCATCAAAGCCATCTGGGCCTGGAGCTTTGTTCCCCTTTAGTGCTGAAATGGCCTCCTCTATCGTTATCTTGTGTTGTAGGCTCTCTATTGCTTCCATACTGAGTCACAGGAGTTTGAGTTTGTTTAGGAATGCCTGTATGTCAGGGGCTTCCGCACATATGGCATCTGTTTCTTGTGGGGAGTGGTTGTATAAGGACTTGTAATATCTGGTGAACACTTCTACTATATACATGGGCTTTGTTTTGAGTGTGTTTTTGCTATCCCTAATTGCTGTGATGGGTGGGTGTCTCTGTTTTGGGCGTAGTGTTCTGTCCATTAATGTGTCCATTTTGTTAGCTTTTTCGTAATAGGTTCTTTTGGACCATATGATATACCTTGCTATGTCCTCTAACAGCAGCTCCTACATGGATTCCCTCACTGCCCTCAGTTGCTTGCTTTTCGTTGCATCGGGATTTGCCTTTTGTTGCTGCTCCTTTTTCCTAAGGGTGGCTAAAAGCTCTGTGAGTTTTTTGTGTCTTTTGTTTCTTTTTTGCCGTAGCTAGGCAGATTAATGTGCCCCATATTACTGCTTTATGTGCCGCCCAAAACGGTTCCCAGGGTCAAGTCGTCCTGGTCGTTCCTGCTAAAGGTTGTCCGTCCAGTCTGTTATGTCAATGCGTACAGCGTCTACTATCTGGGGGTCTCATAGTAGGGCTGCGTTAAAGGGACCCTGCAGTGCCCCTCTCCCTCCCACCCCCCATCCCATGTTGGTTAAAACCCCTTCAGTGACTTACCTGAGTCCAGCGCTGATGTCCCTCGGCGTTGGGTCAGGCTCCACCTACTTTCCTCTGACGTCAGCGGGGGAGACCAAATGCGCATGCTTTCCTATGGAGATTTTGGCGACTCTGGAGGTCCTCACATAGCGTGATAGACAGCCACTAGAGGAGGACTTAACCCTTCAAGGTAATTATTGCAGTTTAAAAAAACATGGTCAGCCACTGTGGGTGAGGCTGTTGGTGTCTGCCTGGAGCCGGCTCCATCTTGGGCATCTTTGTGTAAGGCCCACGAGGCCTCAAACAGGTCTACGACCGTAGCATTGCGATCGTGGTGTTTTGGGGCTGTTTTCTGGGCGTAAGTTTGTCCATCGCTCTGTCTAGGTAGGTAAAGGTGCGGGTTTTATTCTGTTAAATAGCTTTTGTTAGCTGTTAGCAAGGTGGTCGGTGCAGAGCTCTACTGAAGCACATCCAGCTTGCTCCGCTGTCAGGCCACGCCCCCTAAATAATAATTATAAAATGTGAATTTATTTTTAGTGCATTGAAAGATTTGTGTGCTCCGTGTTCTTGGCTATGGGGCATCACCCCAGTGAAGAAACTAACCGCCCACAGGCAGCTCAAACCTAGGGGGATGGAACCGCGGCCTTCATTGCACTCCTGTGACTAAATTCCAGCCCACGAGAATCTGTTCCTGGAGGTGTCCCCTTTTTTCCAGAATATGGTAACCCTAATATAAGGTATATGAGGTAACGAGGTATTGACGTAAATGGAGTACGACGTGTATATAAGGTATGTCTATTACAAGCAGTATGTGTTATTATATACTATGTATTGTGTTATTAAACACACCATGCAGTATGTTATTATATGTTATGTGTTATTATTCACGATGTATTGTGTTATTATACACTATGCATTATGTTATTATGCACACCATGCAGTATGTTATATGTTATGTGTTATTATACACAATGTATTGTGTTGTTATACACACCATGCAGTATATGTTATTATACACAATGTATTGTTACATACACACTGAAATATGTATTGTATTACTGTGTTATACCCTATGTGTAGAGTTATTACACACTATGTATTATGTTATTATACACTATACGTTATTGTTATTATACTCTATGTATTGTTATCTATTACACACTATGTGTTGTGTTACTGTGTTGTTACACACTATATTTTGTGTGATTATACACTATGTATTGTGTTATAATACACTGTGTTGTGTTACTGTTATATATTGTGTTATTATACCCTATTTATTGTGTTATTTTTGCACAACTTGCAGGGTGTTATTACACACTATGTATTGTATTATACATCATGTATTGTGTTACTGTGTTATTTTACAGTGTGTTGTGTTACTGTGTCATTACACACTATATATTGTGTGATTTATTATACACTATGTGATGTGTTACTGTGTTATTAGACACTATTTGTTGTGTTATGCACTGTGTATTGTGTTCTGTGCATTATACACTGTGTATTGTGTTATTATACACTATATATTGTGTTATTTTACAATATGTAATGTGTTACTGTGTTATTAGACACTATTCATTGTTATTATGCACTGTTTATTGTGTTATTATACACTGTGTATTGTGTTATTATACACTATAGTGTTACTGTGTTATTATACACTGTGTATTGTGTTATTATACACTATGTATTGTTTTTTTACACTATGTGATGTGTTATTAGACACTATTCATTGTTATTATACATTGTGTATTGTGTTATTATACACTGTGTAGTGTTACTGTGTTATTATACACTATGTAGTGTTATTATAGACTAGGTGTTGTATTAATATACCCTATTGTGTTATTATACTCTGTATTGTGTTATTATAGACTAGGTGGTGTATTAATATACCCTATTGTGTTATTATACACTGTGTTGTGTTATTATAGACTAGGTGGTGTATTAATATACCCTATTGTGTTATTATACACTGGGTTGTGTTATTATAGACTAGGTGGTGTATTAATATAGCCTATTGTGTTATTATACACTGTGTTGTGTTATTACAGACTAGGTGGTGTATTAATATACCCTATTGTGTTATTATACACTGTGTTGTGTTATTACAGACTGTGTTGTTACAGATTAGGTGGTGTATTAATATACCCTATTGTGTTATTATACACTGTGTTGTGTTATTATACACTGTGTTGTGTTATTATAGACTAGGTGGTGTATTAATATACCCTATTGTGTTATTATACACTGTGTTGTGTTATTACAGACTAGGTGGTGTATTAATATACCCTATTGTGTTATTATACACTGTGTTGTGTTATTATAGACTAGGTGGTGTATTAATATACCCTATTGTGTTATTATACACTGTGTTGTGTTATTATAGACTAGGTGGTGTATTAATATACCCTATTGTGTTATTATACACTGTGTTGTGTTATTATAGACTAGGTGGTGTATTAATATACCCTATTGTGTTATTATACACTGGGTTGTGTTATTATAGACTAGGTGGTGTATTAATATACCCTATTGTGTTATTATACACTGTGTTGTGTTATTATAGACTAGGTGGTGTATTAATATACCCTATTGTGTCATTGTGTTCAGTATGTGACTCACACTCTGTTCCAGACAAAGGATCCCAGTAATGGAAGGTCTCCTGAGTGGATACTCAGCATTATTCCCCCTGTACCCCCATCCCTTGTACCCCACATCCTGTGTGCCTGCTGCTCTGTTTAACCCCTGCTCTACCACCCGCTCCACTTAAACTGAGCCCCAAGAGTGGAGCACATTCCTGGTTACGCAATCCTCGCATCCACCACCCACACACAGAGTGTTACGCCATTCACTAGCGCTAACCGGCTTTGTGAATAGCGCTGCTGCACTGCGGCTGTGCTGCTCTCAAACAAACCTTGTTTGCCCGCCACGCCCCGCGCTCCCCATTGGCTGGCCGGCGGCTCGAGGCGCGTCATTCACGTGTGGGCGGTCGGTGATTGGCTGTCGCGTAGTCCCGCCTTGCCGGGTAGCTGTGAGGTTAGGGTGTAGTCGGTGGTTGTCCGTCCAGTCGGTGATTGAGCTCGGAGCAGGAGGCTGCAGCTCCCCCCTCCCCTTATTCCCCGGGCCCCTCTCCCCTCAGACCCCGGGCCCTGCTCATCGTACAAGGCCGCACACCGCGCGACAAGCTGCCGGGGGCATAGACCAGGTGAGACCGGGACCGCATTCACACACCATAAAATGGCCGCCTCGGCGAGGCTGCGAGAAAATGGCGCCGGCTTGGCTGCTGGCAGAGGGAGGGGGGGCAGACCAGGGGGGGGATACAGGGTCCGGGGAGATAGTACACCCGGGGTGTAGGTTGTATTGTTACCCCGGGTACCGATAGGAGGCGGATTTTATTAATACGCAGAGCGGATGGGGGGGGATTTTTACCTCAGGGAATTTAAATACAGCTCTCAGCCCGGACTGGGGGTATTGTTACCCAGATACCATGTGTAGGGCTCAACTTATAGATATACAGAGTGCAATGGGGGAGATGTTACCCTGGAGAGTGGGAGGGGGGTATTGTTAATCTCAGATAACCCTGGGAGATCCAGGTGGGGGAGCGGGGGGTATTGAATTTGTTACTTAGATAACCATGGGAGATCCAGATATGGGGGGTATTGAATTTGTTACTTTTAGATAACCCTGGGGAGATCCAGATTTGGGGGTATTGTTACTCTTAGATAACCCTGGGAGATCCAGATTTGGGGGTATTGTTACTCTTAGATAACCCTGGGAGATCCTCTTAGATTGGGAGATGATTTGGGGGTATTGTTACTCTTAGATAACCCTGGGAGATCCAGATTTGGGGGTATTGTTACCTTGATAACCCTGGGAGATCCAGATTTGGGAGATTGTTTACTCTTTGGATAACCCTGGGGATCCAGATTTGGGGATTGTTACTTTAATAACCCTGGGAAATCCGCATTGGGAGGGGGATTGTTACTCCCAGATATCCCTGTTAGGGGGTATTGTTAATCTTAGATACTCTCCCAGATAACCCTGGGAGATCCATATGGGGGGCGGCGGTGTATTGTTACTCCCAGATATTAGGATTTGGGGCTATTGTTGCTCCGAGACACCCTGGGAGATTGAGATTGGTTCTATTGATACCAGAGTGTTATATTTACTACCACTTTAAGGCTTAATTCCTACCTGTGGGTTACTTTTTCCTCCAGTCCAGTTACTGTATAACTATTTGAGTGAAAACAGTGCATGGTCTTGTTGTGTTTTGTCACTCAGTGGGTTAATGTGTTTTTTTTTGGGGGGGGGGTTGCCCCTTCCTACCTCTGGTCTGATACTCCATCCTACTGCCTGAGTATAAAAGCCTCCAGTGCATTGATGTCCATTTGCCCATCTCATTACTGCTGAGATAATCTGCATCCTGCTGCCCTTTCTCAGTGCTATTGCCTCTTCTGACTTCTCTGTGTTCACCTAGTCATTGTTTCCGTCTAGAAATCTAGGTCTTTACTGATCTTGGCGATTTTTTTTTTTTTTTTAAATTCTGTCCAATTTTATGTCGTTGCTTTCTACATTTGGGGCAGGTAAAGGATGGTAAAATGTTACGTCTATAGCTTTGCCTATGGCTGGTCATTGTGCCAGTGCTAAGCTACCATTCCAGGTTGATGCTTCAGCCACGAGCATCGCCTGAACTGGCATCCTATGCAGCCCGTAGTGGTTTTGGGTTAATGCTTGTAATCCCTTACTGTCCCTTTTGTGATACCGTAGCCACCTAATGGCATCCTGGCCTACCGGTTCTCCCCAGGTGCCACATAACAGACTGCCCTGATGGAGGATTGATGTGACGCCCATTGATTGTGTTGCTTAAAACACCATGTTTCCAGCATTGTCTTCCCAGACTACATTGTAGCTGAACGATAAAAAGTGTGGGTAAAAAATGCTGTACTGCAAACAAGAAATGTCCAAACTGTACTATAAAAGCTATGGGATCATTTTTAGTACCAACATAGAGCTTGGCAAGCCTGTATGTTATGTTTGTAAATAACCTCATCTGGCAGCTGTATAGGAATCCATCCTTTTTATTTTTTTTTATTTTCTATAGATTGTACGTTTCTCCATCCCCAGAGACAATTGGTAGCATTAAGCACTGCCTTAAAGCTGAGTAAATGTATCTGCTTATTTAGAAAGGCAAACCTGAATTTGTGTAAACCTAATTTCCTGCCCATATGAGCAGCCATTTTGTTCTCACAATTCAATTTGCTCCTCCTCTTGCCAGATTGTATTGGGCAATTATCATGGAATTGTTAAACTGACTTCCTGGTATTGGTGTGGTCTATATGCAGTATCCTCCCAGCACAGTCTGCTTCCAGGCCTTGGTTTCAAGAGAACAAAGGCTTCGCCTAGCTTCAGACTACACTGGCCGGGCCTGTATCTCTTCATTTGTAATCACAGCAGTGTTGTGTGTGATTTCTCACATTTCTAGCACTTTCTCTCAAGAATTCACAAAAATCAATAAGGATTACTGGAATTTCTTCATTTCCCTGGTAGCATTTTCCATCTCAATGTGGTTTTACCTATCTGTTTTTATTGAGATGTAGTCCCTAATTATAAAATACATTTTATTCAGATTAAACAGTGTTTAGATGGACTCTTAAATTCCTGTTTTTAATATTGAATGATGCTATCTGAAAACTTGAATTGCAACATAGTAATTTTGGATTTGCAAATTTTTAACTTGTATTGTATTTTTTTTTTTCTCACACAATGGTGCATTGGCCCCTGTCAGTTCACCTTAAATTGAAGTTTAGAAAATAAATCCACGTTTTAATCGTACACAATGCTGTTGTTGGCGTTTCCCCATCTAACCTGGAGTCATAAATTATCTAAATGTGTTTTCATTTCATTTTACTTTTCTTGACACTAGTAGTAAGTTCAATAGCAATGTGATTTTGGAGGATAAAGAATTAATTTAATATTCTCATTCTCTTACACAATTTGTTTAAAACTTAATTAGCTGTGTGCATTGTTGATCCCTGATGTAAACCATTTGTATAACTAGGTGTGTATATGTGTGTATACAATCTCTCTATCACCACATCTGCTTTAAAATACTAAATTAAATATATTTGTAAAATAAAGGGGGCTGGGGGGGGGGGGAGATGAGTCATGACCTAGAATTCTGTGTAAAGCCTTTGCAGTCAGACAGAAGATGAACTATTTGCACATTATATAGATGTCATTGGGGAATCTCTTGGCTTTTACAATGTTTTATTTGGGAAGGTTATTTCACCTGGTACTAATTTTAAATCCTTTATTTTCTTCCTTTCAGCGCGTGTCTCCCTCCCCAACTTGCCTATTGTATATTTATTCAATTTTTTTTTTTGAACATTCTTGGTTATCAAGCCGCCAAAGTGGAGAGTGCGATTGCAGAAGGGGGTGCTTCTCGTTTCAGGTAAGTTGCACCCATTTCACAACATGTGGGTTCTCTATAGCCAGAAGAATCAGTGAGATATTGCTTGTATAGTCAGCAAGATTTCAAACCGGTGAGCTAGAGGAAATGACACACACACATCTACCTTGTTAAATATTTAATGGGCTTTTAGATGTAGTCTTTCCTTTCACCAAGCTGGCTCTAAAACAATGCTATCATTTCATATTGATCTGCAATATAATCCTATCAAGAGTACTAAGGGCTGCCATCTTCTTTTCCACCAACCTGTTTAACTTATTTTTATGCCAATTCTATATAGTATGCATGCAACTAGCAGCTCATCCCTTGCATTCCCTTTTTTTGCCCACATATATATATTCTCCTACTAAAGTGCAAGGCCATTTATGATGAAGCTATCATTTTTCTTATTTTTTTTCCAGAAATGGACACTAGAGTCACCAGAACTAGTTTCTTGTATTTGTTCTGGCAAATATAAACATTCCATTCAGGCTTTTTGCATTTTTATTTTTTTTTCAGAGAAAATGCAATGTTTACACTACAGCCTAGGGATACCTCAATTGGATACCTTCTACTGAACATATCTCATAGAGATGCATTGATTCAATTCATCTCTTTGAGGAGCTGCTGATTGACCAGGGCTGTGTTTGGCTTGTGCTGGCTCTCCCCCTGATCTGCCTCCTTGACAAGCTCAGTCAATCCAATGCTTTCCTATTTCTGATGTCAGTCAAGCAGGCAGATCAGGGACAGGGCCAGCAGCAGCAGACTGGAATAAAGGTACAATTTTGCTAGATAGTGGTTTTAACACACTAGGGTTAGGAATACATAGTTTATGTTCCTGACACTGTAGTGCTCCTTTAATAGTGAATTTTGTTCATTTTGTATTGGAATAATATTGGTTGTGTAAGATGCCGCTGGCACTAATGATGCTGTTTGTTTCCTGCAGTGCTTCGTCAGGTGGAGGAGGTAGGGGTGCCTCTCAGCACTATCCCAAGACTGCCGGCAACAGGTACACTGTTTTAAACTCTCTCTATAGTCTGGTCATGAACCTCAAGAACACAACTACTCGGTCTGCACAAAACCTACTATATTATGTGAACCTCTGACATTCAAAATTTTATGTCCTGCTAGTGAATAAAAAATACAAAAGTTAGTGTCTAGCGTTTCTTCCTTACAAGGTCAGCAAAATTACTATTTGCTATTTACACTCCTAACATGTTGCCCAAGGGAATGCTTCTGCTTTTTTGGCTCCTGGAAACTCCCACTTAATTTTTAAGCTTTTTGAAAACTGTTTAGCACGTAATGTTAAGGCTCAGGTGTACTCGAGTGCCATAACCACTAAATGGCTCTGTTGGCCGGAGTGACCCTTTATGTAAAAGTAACATTTGGTAACCATTTAGCTAGTACAGTATATGGATAAAATCACATTGCTGGAGTATGTAGATGGCTGGCTACCAGTTTGGCCACATTGCTAGGTGATCAGGTTATGAAAATTCAACAAAGTAAAGACTAGTTTCTTTCCAGCCTTACTTTCAACTATAAAAATGTATGTGTTAAAGTGGCTTTAAATAACTCATGTGCCCATTTATCCTCTGTCTGTAACCAGAACCATATGTCAGTGTGCATGTCCTTGCAGTTGGTGTTCAAGAGATCTGACCATTTATATACTGGTTGTTTTGTCAAACTTTGTTTCTTGCTAGTATTTAATGATGTTTGGTGTGGTTTTTAGTCTGCATAAATAGCTCTATCTAGTTTCTTAAGGGGGCAGTGAAAGTACTTGTGTAATAATGCAGGCTTTTATTTTTTTCAGCAGATACAATGTTACGGCATTGTGTGCTTTATAAGAAAGTAACTTAAAATTAGTACTACATTGTTTTAGAAATATATATACACCATTTTTAGATTTCTTCCTGCTGCATAAAGTAAGGGCACATAATTTTACTTGTTACATTGTGTCAAGAATAGGGTTTAGAGGGACTCTGCTTTTGATCTTGGCACATCAAAATAAAACTGTGTAAACTCAAATATCTTTTGAGAATGTATTTATATACTAAGTCACCTTTAAGTCAAAGAATTAATATTTAAAAAAGGGGGGGTTCCATACATTTTATCAGTGGATAATCTAACACCATAACTTGCATGACATGTGCTGTATAAGCCTGTATGTCATAGCAACTAATATCACAAAGGTGCTATGTGTGTGTATACTGAGATAATCTTATGTTGCAGTGCCTCTTTGAGGCGGAGTGGTGCTGCTTTAGAGTTTGCACTTTTTGAAGAGGCCTCTGCCTGTAGCCTTATACAGCAGGAATTTCTAATTCTAAAAGTAATCCTTCTGCTTGATAAAGGTATCATATGCATGTTAAAATTCTATAAATGTGACTTGTTGCTGCCCAGCTATATTTTAGCTTCTCACCTCTGCTTCCATCCCTCATTCTGGCTCTTTGTTCCACATTTGCTCATTGGCAGGTTGAAAGCTGTGATCTGCAGTGTTTTGCCAGGATTTTGATTGGGTGGATTACCCGCCCGGAGAAGATCGTCTGAGAGGCCCAAAAACCCACCCCCACTCCTCCATTTGCAGACGCACGGTTGTATTTTTTAATACATCTGAGCGTCGTGCATTTGCATGCAGCGTTCGTTAGGGGGAGCGGACTCCGCGGGTTGTGCGCCTGTATCGCACAGTAACCCAGCCTCGCGGAAACGCTGGTGTGTATATTCTACCGTGGAGAGCAGCTTTAACAAATCCCTCAGTCTGTGCATTGAGTCTGATTGGTGGTAATCTACAATGACTACCAGACTGTAATAGAGACCCTCTGTCTCATTGTAAAGTACCCACTCATAAAAATATAAACCATTGATATTTTGTGAGCTTTCTTTCATTGACTAGTATTAGTGAATTTTCCTTAAATTTTTAGCTGCTTTTATTTTAAAGAATGTGGGAATAAATACTTTTGAATCCTGTTCTATATTGGTATTGACATTGGGCAACATAGCTGTTAGTGCCTTATATTTTAAAATGGGGTTTAATGGTGGGACTCTTTACTATTTTATTTCTCTCTGATCTTAAATGTTTTTAACAATTTGAGAAAGTTCTAAAGGCTTTTCTTTTGTATTTTTTTTTTTTTTTTCCTCCCTGCCTTTGCAGTGAGTACCTGGGGAAAACCCCGGGGCCTGGCGTTCAAAGATGGATTCCTTCACGAAGCACTAGACGAGATGGTAACTCCACAAACAACTCCGCTAACAACTCTGCGATCCCCTCCGCAAGTGAGAAAGAACGACACGATGCAATCTTTAGGAAAGTGAGAGGGTAAGTTACCATTGAAGCTATCCAGGTCATAGTCTAAACCAATAATCATGTAATGCCAATAACATCAGACTGAAGATGGGTGAATCCACCTGTACAAGATGTAGTAAACAGAGTTGAAGGCCAACTTATAATTTAGACTCAAAGAGATGGCAAAAAACCTTAAATTTAATTTTCATTAGTGGGCTGATGTGTTCTACATACTGCTGTTTTTTGGTTTGTTTTTTTTTGGTTTTTTTGTTTAGCACAGTTAGATCTTTTCAGAGCTGTAACCCATCTTTCAAGTGATGAAATATTAAGGTGTTAGAGCAGAGGTAGGCAAACTTCAGTACTATAGATGTTGGGAACGGTCACTGTGTTGGAGGGACAGAAATTGTCTTTCCCGTGAAAGAGGTTCTCATGTTTAACTTTTTTAATATATAAATAACTTTTGGCTAATATTTACCTTACCTATGCCTTTTTTTTGCTCTTGCTTAAATTGTATATTTATATATATTTTATTTCCCCCTCCCTTTCTAGCATCTTAAACAAGCTTGCTCCTGAAAAGTTTGACAAGCTATGCCTTGAGCTCCTCAATGCGGGTGTAGATTCCAAACTCATCCTCAAAGGAGTCATACTGCTTGTAAGTATTTTTGTTCTTAACATCTGTACTTGTCACTAACTTGTGTGGGGATTAATGTGCACAGATCAACAAATATAGTGAAGTTCTTGTGTTCTCCGATTACCCAGTAATAAGCAGCCTGTCCTGTACACCACTCAGCAATTTTTTATTTTTTAATAGTTGTTTGTGGCAGAAAGTTACACATCTGAATTTAAATGTACGATTTAAAAAAAAAATGTGTAATTTTTTTCCCCATGTATTTTAGATTGTAGACAAAGCCCTTGAAGAGCCAAAGTACAGCTCACTCTACGCTCAGCTATGTCTGCGATTAGCAGAAGATGCACCAAACTTTGACGGCCCATCAGAGGGTCCACCAGGACAGAAGCAAAACTCCGTAAGCGTAAGTATTGCCACTCTTAAGTATCTGAGTCTTAAAATTACAATTTCTAAAGTTTTAATATTTAAATAAAACACACACTGGATCCTCTCCCTTTTCTAAAGTGTATACATGGCTGCGATAAACATCACAGATGATGATGCTGTTACGTTGACTATATTTTCGTTTTAGAGCCATCAAATTCTTTTGTCTAAACATGTGTGGTGTACTTGGCTGTAGATTTCATTCCAAGCTTTTCATAAAGTAGGTTAATGCCCGGTCATTCTAACTTTTGGTTTTTCTTTTTCCCACAGACGTTTAGACGCCTCCTAATTTCTAAGCTTCAAGATGAATTTGAGAATAGATCCAGAAATGTTGATGGTAAATAATTCAATTATTCTTGGCCACATGCTGGACAAAGACACCAGACCAGGATACTGACTTAAACATTTAATCTTTGCAGTTTACGACAAGCGGGATAGTCCCCTCCTTCCTGAGGAAGAGGAACAGCGAGCCATCGCCAAGCTCAAGATGCTGGGAAACATCAAATTTATTGGGGAGCTTGGCAAGCTTGATCTTATTCATGAATCTATCCTTCATAAGTGCATCAAAACAGTAAGTGTCTGATAAACTGCCCTAATGCAGTCTTAATGGCTTGTAGTAACACTTGTTCTAACAATGGGAAATACTATCAAACCTTCTGTTCATAACTTGTAGATCATGGGGACATCTGGCTGCATTATTACTCTAATTCTATGGTGGCTGACGTGTCTGGGTATCTGGTGCTGTCTCGTGGTTTTATTCTGTGAGCTTTGATTTTTACTTTTTTTTTTTTTTTTTTCTTCTAGCTTTTGGAAAAGAAGAAGAGAGTTCAACTTAAAGACATGGGGGAAGATTTGGAGTGTCTCTGTCAGATAATGAGGACAGTGGGGCCGAGGTTAGACCATGAAAAAGCCAAGGTGTGTATTGCAGTACATGGAATCTCCACATGTGATATAGCAAGTAATGGGGTTGACATATTCTAGTCCTGTATTGAAATGATCTGAGTAAGTGGTTAAAATTAAGGACTTATATTTTTTTCTGCTGTTCCCTGCAATTCTCTCATTAAGACATATAATTTTGCTCTGGATTTTTGGAGATAGAGATGTGGGTCTCTTTCTAGCTTCCAGTCAAAAGAAAATGACTGCGTCTAGTGATGGCCAACATCTGCGTTGCTGTGACTGTGCCATGTGTCCTGCATATGTAGCTGTTTGCTATGTCAGATATTGTCAATCTCAAGTCCAACTGTTCCATCACAATGCCCATTATAATCCTCCTATTTTATGTTTTGTGTTTACCTTTTTCTAGTCCTTAATGGATCAGTACTTTGCTCGTATGTGCGCCTTGAAGACTAGTAAGGATTTGCCAGCGAGGATTCGTTTCCTGCTGCAAGTAAGTGTTAAGTAAATCAAACTGGGAGTATGAAGTGTTCAGTCATCATTTTAGGACAATCTGTTCTATGGCTGTAGGCACTGTGTAAAAGTAAATAATTGCTCTCCTCATTGCCATCGCTATGTCTTGTACATTTCGTCTGTCTGTTCCACCTTTTGTTTGCATATTTGATGCTGATCAAAGAATAGCATTGGAGAGCACAAGCACTACTCAAATAAATGCTGCCATCAGAAGCATTTTATTGCAATACCAAGTTTTTTTTGGTTATGGAGACTGAAGTCTCTAGTGGCTGTCATGAAGATGGCCATTAGAAGCTGTTTTTATATTTTTTTTTTTTTTTTTAACCCATCAGTGTTTTCACAATTATTTTGCAAAACTGCTGTTTTCCATTAAGAGTTAAAAGTACAGGACCACTTAATCTCCTTGAAGTGCTCTGTGACTTAAGTATTTTTTTTTTATATCTATCTCTCTTGTTCATTGAGATGTCAGTGTAACAGTTTACACTTTATTTTTACTCCTTCCCCATTAAGGATACTGTGGAGTTGCGAGAAAACCGTTGGGTTCCTCGCAAAGCTTTCAATGACAATGGACCAAAGACTATCAATCAAATCCGCCAAGATGCAGTAAAAGTAAGTTGTTTATCTTCAAGATTCTCTGCTTGTGATGCTGCAGATATATCTGTGGCTGATGCATCTATACTCAAAGTATTACATATGTTGCTGGTTCCCAAACTTATTTGAGCTTGAGTTTTATTTCTTTCCTCCAGGATCTAGGGGTATTTATTCCTGCTCCTATGTCTCAAGGAATGCGGTCGGACTTCTTTTTGGAGGGACCGTTCATGCCACCAAGAATGAAGCTTGACAGGGACCCACTAGGCGGACTTGCTGATATGTTCCGGCAAATGCCAGGTAATTGTGCTGTAGTGAATCTAAAAACTTTTCACAGGAAACATTGTTTGTTAAAATCTGGTACTTTATGGATGTTTGAATGCTGTCTTGCCTCTTGTCTTCAGGTAGTGGGATTGGTACTGGTCCAGGGGTCATACAAGATAGATTTTCCCCCACCATGGGACGTCATCGGTCAAATCAGCTCTTCAACGGCCATGGAGGGCACATCATACCTCCAGTGCAGTCTCAATTTGAAATTGGAGGCAAACCATTTATGAAAAGCCAGGTGAGATAGCTTAACATGTAAATATGTCCAGAACCAGCTTGGAGCACTTTTGAAGACTGACCATGGCACGGCCGATGTTTTGAGCTGTATTTAACAGAACATGGTCTCAAATATACCTCAAACATCTGAAATGCCATGACTGACCATTTCACAGAGTGACTTTAGGCTTGGGCCATTTTCTAATGCTACTTTCCCTGTTTTGTGGTTAGGGGCAAAGCCAACTTTACCAGAGTCAAGGAATTTTATCGCAGCAAGGACAGTCTAAAGACATGCCCCCTCGATTTATTAAAAAGGGGCAGCTTAATGCAGATGAGGTACGTAGCTGGAATTTATATATTTTCTTTTAAACCTGGTATTGTAGCCCAGTGATTAACAAAAGACGCGTTATTACGAGGACTTATACTGGAAACCCCTTTGCTCTTTTTCTCTTTTCTTTACCCCATTTTTTTCCCCCTCTTACGCTTCCCCCAATCATTCCTTTTCTTTTCCTTGGGGTAACCAGTGTCCTTTGAGCAAGATTATGAGATATGAGGGCTTTCATGACTTACCATAATGTTAGGATTTAAAAAAAAAATTATTTTTTTATGTAAAATCTTTTGTCTCCTCTTCACCCTTCACAGATCAGCCTAAGGCCTGCTCAGTCTTTCCTAATGAATAAAAACCAAGTGCCAAAGCTTCAGCCTCCAATGACTATGATACCCCCTCGCACTCAAACACCACCCATGGGGCAGGTGAGGCAACTTTCTCTGGTTACTATGTGAAGGTGAGGCTAGATATGTGTAACCAGTTACTGACACACCCACCCCTCTCTTCTATGTCAGACTCCTCAGCTTGGCCTAAAAACCAACCCACCACCCATTCAGGAGAAGCCAGCAAAAAGTGTTAAGAAGCCTCCACCCTCGAAAGAAGAACTGATTAAACTTACTGTAAGTATCTAAAGCCATTTATACATAGCGTGACCTAATGCTCAGCATCAAGACAACTTGTGTTGTGTGGGGTGTTTTTTTTTTTTAATTTTTTTTTTCTTTAACAAACCTGTAATGTCCACAATGCTGAGAGGACATATTTAGGTGTATAGGACCTTCTCAAACTACTAGAATAAATCCATTTTCCTGGACACCTTCTATATAGTGATAGGCCACACATGAACGTTTCACCTTACACTATGTAAATTTCAAATAGTACAGGGAAAAACTCTGCACTACTTACATGTTGCAAATAATGAGTTATATACAGGGGCTGTGGGGAGGTCACACCAGGGCTGCGCACCCTCTACCAAACATCACTTTTCAATTGGCTTATCAATTTCGTGCAATGACTACCAACTGCCAAAAAACAGTGGATAATTAACTATTTTTACTTTTGGCCAATTTAGGTGAAGTAAAGTCATCTTTGGTGACCCTTTAAAGGAACACTATAGTCAGCTAAATTACTGTAGCCAAATAAAGCAGTTTTAGTGTATAGATTCCCCTGTAATTTCACTGCTCAATTCACGGTCACTTAGGAGTTAAATCACTTTGTTTCTGTTTATGCAGCACTAGCCACAGCTCCCCGGCTATGATTGACAGAGCCTGCATGAAGAAAACTGGCTTCACTTTCAAACAATTTTACCTTAAATAATTGTATCTCAATCTCTAAATTGAATTTTAATCACATAGAAGAGGCTGTTGCAGGGTCTAGCAAGCTATTAACATAGCAGGGGGTTAGAATCTTAATTAAACAGAACTTGCAATAAAAGCCTAAATAGGGCTCTCTTTACAGGACGTGTTTATGGAAGGCTGTGCAAGTCACATGCAGGGAGGTGTGACAAAGGTTCTTAAACAATGGGATTTAACTCCTAAATGGCAAAGGATTGAGCAGTGAGGCTGCAGGGGCATGTTCTATACACCAAAACTGCTTCATTAAGCTAAAGTTGTTCAGGTGACTAATGTCCCTTTAATATGAACTCCTGCAATTATTTTTATAAAGGGTAGAGGATGGCCTTGCAAATGCCATTAATCATGGGGAGATTGCACCTCCAGCAAGTTTTTGTGTAATTTTTAATTTTGGCCATTCTAGTAGGAACCATTTATCATCTGTGGGCCACTTTAAAATGTTTCTTGCCAATTTACACTGCTTTTTTTTTTTTTTTTCTGTACCTTAGACCAGGCCTCACACAATTTGTTCGTATTGATAGTATAATTGAGATCCTTTTGCCAGATCTGAAAGACTGGGAATCTGTCTAGTCTGCTTATAATGCATATTGGTTCTAGTCCCTTTTTAAGACAACCTTATCTACTGAGTCCTATTTTAATATCTCCAAAATGTGAGGTGCCTTTTGATGTTTGCTGTAACATTTTAGAATGTATTAAAATATTTATCATACTTATTTTAAGTCTCTCCCTTTGTCTAATTTCAGGAAGCTTTTGTGACCGAATACTTGAATAATGGAAATGCGGCTGAGGCTATAAATAGTGTGAAAGAAATGCGTGCTCCCAAACACTTTATTTCCGAAATGATTAGCAAGATAGTCCTTCAGTCCTTGGACCGGTCAGATGACGATAAAGAGAGGGCAAGTTCTCTGATAGGTATTCTGCGCCAGGAGGGCATTGCAACTAGTGACAATTTCATGCAGGTAATGATTGCTGTATATATGTACTTCTCTGCCCCATCGAACTACTCCATTTACTAACCAGTACATCTTCCTTCCAGGCTTTCCTAACTGTGCTGGACCAGTGCCCCAAGTTAGAGGTTGACATACCTCTTGTGAAGTCATACCTGGCACAATTTGCAGCCCGTGCCATAATCGCTGACCTGGTGAGCATTTCTGAGCTGGCTCAGCCCCTCGAGAATGGTACCCACTTCCCGCTCTTCCTGCTCTGCCTTCAGCAATTGGCCAAGCTTAAAGACCGTGAATGGCTGACAGAGATATTCCAGCAAAGCAAGGTTAACATGCAGAAAATGTTACCAGGTAAAGTCTTAATATTTTGCAGTGTGGTCCTTTGCTTATGTTTTGGTGCTTAACGGAAGCTTATTTGGTGCTTTTAATAAATCTACCTGTTCTTGGAAACCAGAATTATTGTGTGGAAACGTAACACTTGTTTCTGGTTTTAAGAAATCGATCAGAATAAAGACCGAATGCTGGAGATCTTGGAAGGAAAAGGACTCAGCTTCTTGTTTCCACTTATGAAATTGGAAAAGGAATTGCTCAAACAAATAGAAATGGATCCATCTCCGCAAGCGATATACAAGTGGATTAAAGATAACATCTCTCCTAAACTTCATGTAGATAAAGGATTTGTGAATATTTTGATGACCAGGTAAGTCCCCAATGACTTGCTTTGTTGGAAAGCCTTGCTTTAGTTCGTCCAATATTAAAACCACAATTTTGGTGTACTTGTCTTAGTGAAGGAAGATCATGAGTGTATCCTAAAGATTTAAAATGGTTACTGCATGGATTGACTTGAGGTCAGGATAATTGTATGGTGATCTTGTGAATGTTGGCACAATGCACTTGTTTATACTCCTAAAAGGCAAAGGTTTTATAAAATGTTGGCTGTAGGGGACAAACATTGTCTATGAAGGACCCTGAGGGATCCTCTATAGACCCTAGTGCTGTACTCATGCATGTGCTTGAATTGCCAGTAGCTGAAGAGGATGGTGATGTTTCCATCCATAGTCTTTGCAAATTGATATGTATATGTGACTGAGGCACTTTAAAGGGTGCAGTACTGGAAATAACTGGTGTTTTATATAAACTAGATTTTTCTCTACATTTAAACTACAAATATAAAGGTTAATTTTTTTTTTTTTTGTGGGTTTTGTTTAACCGATTGTTCTGTTTTCTCACTTCTAGCTTTTTACAGTATATTTCTAATGAGGTATGTCCATCAGAAGACCCTGATCAGTCTGCTCCTTCCAAAGAGCAGTTGGAGCAGGAGAAGCAGTTGCTGCTTTCCTTCAAGCCAGTAATGCAGAAGTTCCTTCATGACCATGTCGATCTGCAAGTTAGCGGCCTCTATGCACTACAGGTTCACTGCTACAGTAAAAGCTTTCCTAAAGGTTAGTGCGTCAGGCCAGCAATCCTCTGAAATTGGCTTTATTTGTAGCTGCCGGTATAACCAGTCCATGTCTTCTTACTCACAGGCATGTTACTGCGCTTCTTTGTCCATTTTTACGATATGGAGATCATTGAGGAAGAAGCCTTCTTGGCCTGGAAGGAAGATATTACTCAAGAGTTTCCAGGGAAAGGAAAAGCTCTATTCCAGGTGGGTCTCTCTTGTGGTTACTTGCTGTGACTCTCTGGGTTTCTCACTACATGGGAATTATCAGGAATTCAAAGTGAATCTCCAAATCTAGGCCACAATAGCCAAACTGAAAACCTTGGTGGCGGTCTTACACTGTCATGTCAATAAAAGTTCTCCAGCAATCTGTTTTGGAATCTAAATGGTATCCACTTTAAGTGCCTTGGAGTCTTGAGTATTGTTTAATGTGTCAACACATTCTGCTGTGCACCATAGAGAATCAAACCCACTTCACGCGACATGATATAAGACAAAGTGGCTACTTTGTCATATGTATTTTTCTAAGCTTGACAAAAAGATGGAACGACTGCTGTCAAGCACCCATCAGTCACTAGTAATGAATGCTTGAGGATGAGGAAGCATTGTGTATGGAGACTTCTGCAGGATCCTTTATAGACCTCAGTGTTCTATTCTTGCACACTAGCAAGAATACAGCACTGACTGGCTCCTGTTAGACAAAGTGCCAAGAGTTGGAGAGGATCCTGCAAAAGATGGCAACTGACTGCTTTGGGTGAGTAAAACTCACTGCACCCCTGGGCCACCGCACACAAAGCGACAAAATATGCTTTAGTATAGAAATTGCAATCTTCTAAAATGTACTTGACAAGTTTACTATTGTGCTTACAGTCTAAAGTCTATGAAAAGCTCCTAGAAATGCAAAAAAGTGGTTTTTTTTGTCTTTTTAAATTTAATGTAACGCGCTTTATGGCTTTTTTCCAGGTGAATCAGTGGCTGACCTGGCTGGAGACTGCAGAAGAGGAAGAGTCTGAGGAGGAAGCAGACTAACACCCAGCCAAAGCCTTAACTTGTGCAAACATACTGTGTTTATGATGTAACCGCGTTCGACCTAACCACTGCGAAAATTCATTCCGCTGTAATATTACCGCAGAGGCATGTCTGTAGGATCTCTTCTGCATATAATGATTTTAGTGTAATGTCTTAATCATAGTCTGCCATCCAATATTTTAGAGTATCTGTAATGTTTAGAACAGTGTATTAGCAGCATGCAATAATTACATCATACGTTCACACAGAAGTGGTGTGTTGCAAGGACGTTCTTTGCTGCCGGTTAACGTTAGGCTGTTGGGGTGGGGGGAAACCTGAATAGCAACACTGAATACTGTAGAAGACTCACTTTGCTCAGTGTAATACTTGAGTTGTTGCAATATTTGATTCATTTGGTTGTTACAGAGAAACCTTAACTGTAATCGATGGTTTGTTGCCGTAATAGTATATTGCCTGTATTTCTACCTCTAGTAATGGGCTTTTTGTGCTAGATTTTAATATCTTTTTGAGCCTGGGCAAGTGTAAAAGTCTTTAAAGAAGAAAAAAAAATGAGTTTACTTGCACAAAAACCGATCCGTTGCGTGGGTAAGAGAGGCCCTCCTAAATGGTATTGTGGGTGAGAAACCGAACTGGTCCTCCTTATAGTATTGAAATTAAGTCTACTTAATTTATCAAGTCATGTTCATGCCCTGATTTTATATACTTGTATCTATCAATAAACATTGTGATACTTGATATGTGTAATTTATGACACTACATCTGCTAGATAACATCTTGGAATTCTCTGCAGTGCCAGACATCAAGATCTTCCTTTAATGAACTAGTCTGACGTGCCCCTCCTGTGTGGTCATTCCCACTTGTGGAGTGCTTAATTTAAAAACAAACTGTCATTGGATGACAGGCATTTTCAGTAATAATGCCCATAGGCTAATTTTGTCAGCTAATCTTGATGTCTGTTTACATCCTACAAAAATATGGCCAATGTCTGTCAGTTAGTCTGAGAATTTGCTATTTTATAAAGTGCTCCATGTATAAGAGTAAAGTTTCATCTATAGTGTGGGAGCTAAACAGCTAACAAATGTATTGGTGAAGTTATGCAACTACCATATTAGCATTTATATTGACTCCTTCCACAATGCATACATTAATTTGACCTGGACAGTAAAGACTAAACGTGAAAGTCTGGAGTGACTGTGCTCACTGTAGGAGTTAATGTCAGCTGTATTGCTTTTGGCAGAAGCCAATTACACCTAGCTTGTGTGTGTATTTTAGGACTTTGTGCCAGAGTTGCTATGCATTTTTGTGTATGTACATAAACTAATATGTATACCGATGTAGTGTTTACTACATTTTGACCAGGGTATTAAGAATTTTAGGCTAGAACAGCAAAGCTAAATTTTCCAAGCTGTGCTATTTTAGCCTGCCATCTCACCTTCTAGACAGCTGTTCAAACATGGTTTCTTTAATAATTGGTTTTGTCTAAAAGGGTGAATTTGAAAGTAGATTTGCAAAATGGAGGTTAAACATTGAATTTTTTTATTTTATATATTTCCACCTACATTTTACAAATTGGTTTTCATTGTGTACTGTTGCGTGAATAAAATCCCAGCGTGTCCATGGATTTGATGGTGTTTGATATTAACTCTTGATCTGTCAGGGATGCTTTCATGTGTAATGTTAATTATGTCAAACCATCGCTATTTAAGACAGGGATAGTCAACCTTTGGCACTCCAGATGTTTTGGACTACATCTCCCCCCCCCGCCTCTCCATAATGCTGGCAAAGCATCATGGGAGGTGCACTCAAAACACCTGGAGTGACGAAGGGTGCTCATGCCTGATTTAGGATGTAGATTACCCTGTGTAGTGAATGGTATGTGAAGTTTATATATTAATCGTAAAAAGGATTGCTTCACATTTGCAATAATGGTAACATCCCTTCTTAGTAGGTTAAAGGCAACTCGCCCAGCTGCCTGCTGTACAAAGACAAGGAAAAGCACTTGGGAAATGAAAAGCGGGAGGGTTTTGTTTTTTGTGGGTTTGCTTTGGTTTTTCTTATTTTTTGGCAGGATTCATGACTGGGGGTCAGGTTGTCTAATCTTCATACCTTCAGCTGCAACACCTAAACCCATGCATTCTGAGGCCTAGATCATATGTGACTACCACATTGCTACTCCTAGGTGAAGCAATCCACCAACCCAAGTGCAATGAGCCATAAAATTTTCAGGTGGAGGCCTCTCCTGGAATTGTAAGACCAAAAATGAGATTTGTTCACACCTAGCCAAAGACTGATTGTATGCTTCATTTAGCTGTTCTGTGGTTGAGATCTAAAGTTTTCTCTAAATTGTATGCTAATTTGGGCATTAACTTGTCCCGGTCAACAGTTCGTAGTAACTTCTCATTTGTTTAATTTATTTTTAATTGACATCTTCTGGAGGACTTTACAATGGCCCTGGTCCTTGATTTGTGCCAAACTGTTCAGATTTTCATGCAATGAAATACAGACCTAGAGTGACATGCCAGCTCTTGCTTGATGGTAGCAGTTTGCAACCATTGGACAAAATTTGTGTGGAGAAAAGGTGAAAATCTTTGAAGCTATCAACACATGATGGCCAATAGGAAGACTGTTGTAGGGATGAGAAGTTTAATGGCGAATGAAGGCACATACTCAAAGGAGGACCACATAGAGCAGTGTTTGGCAGTTTTTGGCACACCATGTGTTGTAGACTACATCTTTCCTGATACTTTGCCAGCATTATGACTGTAAGAACATAATGGGAGATCTAGTCTACAAAAACTGGAGTGCTGAATGTTACCACTTAAAAAGGTTGTTAAAACACTGAAGATTCAAGAGGTACAATCTTTTGAGAGCTAGGGGCCATCTGTCTAGCGCTCTGGATAAAATAAGAATGAGGGCTGCAATCTAAACCTTGAGGAATTAAACTCTTCAATACTTTTTGCACCATAACCACTTCATCTCACAAGAGGTTATGGTGAGTATATTTTCCTTGCACTGACTTACCCTCTAACATTAAACGGTTTTCAAATGGTTTGACACACTTACTGTCCTCAGGTGCATGTGTGCTGCATCTGATCCAACTGATACAGAAATACTTGTAGATTAGTGGGACCATTCAAAGGGACAGGTGGTGATAATACTTTGGGTTATTTGCCACCTGTTAGGGTCGACTGCCAAATGGATAAAACCATGTAGGACTAATAGTGAATGAGACCTGATACTTGAGTAAAAACTAATCCGTTTAACAATGGGTTCTTCCAAAATGTCTTCAGTCTGGGCTCGGAGCAATTAATTATCTTCTGTGTTCTGGCTGTTTTGGAAGCTCCCCCTGCTAAAATCTCTCAAACTTGGCCCAGGAATGCTAAAACCTCTCCTGTGGAAAAATAATCCCTGTACTTGTCCACCTCCTAGATAATCTCCAGCTGTTGTATCAACAGCATAGACTAGTCTGTTAGTGGGAGGATCATCCATATTCCAGGCACCGAATTCTATTTGAATTTAAACTACCGGTATATGGCCCTCGCAGCACAAAATGCTGGGTGGAGAATCTAAAATTGATTTATTGTTGAAGTTGTAATCGACAATCAAATGTCTATTCAGATTTTTTTGGAACCTTTGATTAAGGTGGAAGTAAGACCAAAGTTAACTCTGTAATAAACCAGAAGCTGATATCTAGTATCAATATAATTAATAAATATTGACTTAATGTTTCAACTATAAATTAGGTTTTTATTTTAAATAACAGGTATTTTAATGGAATACATGACACTGTGTAAAATACAATATTTTAGTAGTTTATACAACTGTATCAAACAGTAATTATAATACACTTTTCAATTTAGTTCCAAAACTACAACTCATACTGTACCATAGCCTGTAAGCTCATTTGAGCACGGTACTCTTCAACCTATTGTTCCTGTAAGTTTTCTTGTAACTATTTATAGTTACATCCCCCATCTCCCCCCCCACTCATAATATTGTAAAGCGCTACGGAATCTGTTGGCACTATAAAAAAAAGCGATAATCCTGGGAAGTATATGGTAGCCACTAGGGCAGGGGTTCTCAGTCCCAGTCCTCAGGACCCTCTACCAGTCCAGGATTCGGGGATTACCTGGGTGTGTCTCAGGTGTTTAGAAAAAGGGGGAAAAAACACCTTAGACTCTAAGGTGTTTTTTTTTTTTCTAAACACCTTAGACACACCCAGGTAATCCCTGGACTGGTAGGGAGTCCTGAGCACTAACATTGAGAACCCCTGCACTAGGGACTCAAATTGCTGAATATTCTAGTATTACTGGTTATATTGATTCACAATTAAATACACAATCTCATTGGATTAATACATTCAGACCATATTCTCTGGGTCTGTACAAGTATATAGCCAGCAGATCTGTGTATCTTTTAAAAAAGAAAAACCTGATAAAAGCCTTCACAAGACTCCTAGGAGTTGGGACACAGTTCATGAATGCTGCTGATCACTGCCATGATACCCTCAATAAGTTAGAATACAGGAGAAAGTGGTAGCTCTCTGGGAAAAGTCAGGCAGTCTGTAAAATTGTCTGGCGTGTGTTCCTCTCTGCCAGTCATGTTATCAACCTTGTGCCGATGTCTTGCCTACGTGAATCTTCATTTCGTTCCCTCGGAGGCAAACGTCAGGAAGTCGGTTTGGGACGTTTAAGTCTCTGTATGGCCAATTGTTTAAATTGTCAAATTCCCACATAATATGCTCCAAAATAAGACGACGAAGTCAAATCAAGTTTTAAATGCTTGGTGAAAAGAAGCGGCTTTACATATGTTCTCCATTGACAACTCTGCCATAGAAGCCCAGGAAGTAGCTTAACTCCTTATGGAATGAGCCTTAATCTTAGTGGGAGCTTGACAACTTTGTGCTGGGTAAGCATTCACAATTTCTACTGCTATCCATCTTCTAAAAGTAGAAGCTGCTTCACCCTTCCTTGTCCCTGATGGAAGAATAAATATTCCACTAGACTTCCAATCGTTCCAAACACACAGAGATTCACCTCATGACATCCACTATACTCTTTCTTCTGGAGAAGATGGATTAGGAAGACAGGATGGTAGAACAATTTCTTGCTGTAAATGGAACTGAAAAACCACTTTAGGAAGGAATTCTTGTGTGGGCATCAGTAGAGTCTTATTGTGGTGAAAGGTAGTATAAGATTCTTCAGATGAAAGTGCTTGCAGTTCAGAGACCCTCCTAGCAAAAGTAACTGCTACCAGAAACAAAGTCTTGATTGTCAATAAAAAAAAAAAAGGCAACTGATCGTAGTAAAGTCTAAGGCAGGGATAGGCAACCTTCGGCACTCCCGATGTTGTGGACTACATCCCCCATAATGCTCTTACACACGTAATACTGACAACGCATCATGGGAGATGTAGCCAAAACATCTGGAGTGCCGAAGGTTGCCAATGCCAATTATTTACCTTGGGACTAACATCAAAACACTATGCACATTTTGAGGACAGACATCACTAGACAAGGTCATTTGTACCCTAACGGCAAAGTACATGAATACTCCGACCTCCCTGACGGACCTACACTCACAACATTTCGACTATTTTCGATATATTCAACTGAGAAGCTTTGTCTCCTCCACAGCTATGTGTCTTGCAGCGACTTCCCCTCTGACTACATACGAATGCGATTGCCTTATTTCCCCCTCAAGAAAGGGACAAATCTCGGAAATATATAACACACTGGCAACACAGCACACCCAGATATTACACCCATACATCCACAAATTCAATCTCCTTTTGTGTGACCCATCAGGAACAAGCATATAAAATGCTCTTCCTGTGGCACCTTACCTCACAACACCTGGTCGCTATGCAGCGTATACCAACTAACCTATGCTGGAAGTTGTCTGGTAAAACTGGCCCCTTCCTTTACTGCTGGTGCTCCTGCCCTAAACTCGTTCCTCTTTGGTGAAGCATATCAGACTCTCTAGGGTTCTCAATAGACCATTCCCTATAGATCCCTGGACACTCCTATTCTCGAAACCTATTGAACAATTTACCCGAAACAAAAATAAACTTGCCACACGCATATATCTAGCAGCATGAAGGGCAATAGCTGAGGTCTGCTCAACTACCAAAATCCCCTCAGAATCAATAATCAACAAAAATATATTAGCCTTGAAGTGGATAGGTTAACAGCACAAGTAAACAATTCCCCAAAATCATTTTACAAGATCTTGGACCCCTGGCTGGAAGAAGACACATCACTCCCTTGGTATCCCACCACACCTGAGCATCCCTATTCAGCGCATCTACTTTGATAAAAGTTGAGACATCGACACCACTTGATTACGTCCCTTTCATATATATATATATATATATATATATATATATATACACACTGCTCAAAAAAATAAAGGGAAAACAAAAATAACACATCCTAGATCTGAATGAATTAAATATTCTTCTGAAATACTAAGTTCTTTACATGGTTGAATGTGCTGACAACAAAATCACACAAAAATAAAAAAATGGAAATCAAAATTTTCAACCCATGGACAGTGGCGTACCTGCGACCCGGTATGTACGCCAGTGTGGCCAGCCTTGTCTCCTGGGGGGCCCAGGAGCCGGCCACCTCAGGGCCCCCCGAGGCTGGCCCTGGTGTCACCCAGCGGATGGGCTGGCGGGTGCGCGAGGGAGCACTCTCCCCTGAGCGCTCTCTGCCCAGCTCCCTCGTGCATCACACTGATACCGGAGCGGGAAGATGAGGTCTCCAGCATCAGTACACAGCGCGCGAGGGAGCTGAACAGGGAGCACTCAGGGGCTCCCTCGCGCGCACGCCAGCCTGCCTGCTGACCGGCCGCCCACTGGACCAGGGAGTCCTCTCAGCACTCCCAAAGGTAGGGAGGCTGGGGGATTACACTAGTGTGTCTGTTAGCTAGTGTGTGTGTCTTAAGCACTTACCTTTCTCCAACGCCAGACTCGCTTGGCGCTGGGGATCTCTCCGCCCCGATCCGCCTCTCAGCTCCGCGCACGCATTCAAACCGCCCATAGGAAATCATTGCTCAATGCTTTCCTATGGACGTTCAGCAGCTTCTCACTGTGATTTTCACAGTGAGAATCACGGAAGCTCCTCTAGCGGTTGTCAATGAGACAGCCACTAGAGGCTGGATTAACCCTCAATGGAACATAGCAGTTTCTCTGCAGGGTTAAAACTAGAGGGACCTGGCACCCAGACCACTTCATTGAGCTGATGTGATCTGGGTGTCTGTAGTGGTCCTTTAAGTGTATGTGTATATGCATGCACTCATAGGCGTGCGTGCGTGCACACGGGGTGTGCCGGGTGTGCCTGGTCACACCCTTATCCCCGCGGCACGCCTATTGAGACCGGCAGGGGAGATCTCGGTATATCCGAGCGCCTGCTCTGCTCTCAGCCTCCCTCCCCACCGACCCACATGCAAGGAGGGAGGCAGGAGAGGACCCGGGGAGCTATTGCCGGCAGCTCTGCCGGGTTCCTCTCGCGAGATATGAGCGTTGCCACGGCTAGCCCCACTCTCCACTGGACCACCAGGGAAAGCAGCAGCACGATCCCCCCTCCCTACATAAGGTAAGAAGGGAGGGGGGTTATCAAGTAATGTTTCCCCACCTCCACCCCCCAAAATCACCTACACATACAGCCCACAGACATACACAGCACCAACACACATACAGTACCCACAGACATACACAGCACCAACACACATACAGCACCAACACACATACACAGCACCAACACACATACAGCAGCCATAGACATACACAGCACCCACAGACATACACAGCACCAACACACATACAGCACCCACACACATACAGCACCCACATACATACATCACCCACAGACATACACAGCGCCAACACACATACAGCACCCACAGACATACACAGCACCAACACACATACAGCAAAAACACACATACACAGCACCCACAGACATACACAGCACCCACACACATACAGCACCCACAGATATGCACAGCACCTACACACATACAGCACCCACAGACATATACAGCACCCACAAACATAGAGCACCCATAGACATACACAGCACCTACACACATATACAGCACCCACAGACATACAGCACCCACACACATACAGCACCCTCACACATACAGCACCCTCACAAACACACACAGCACCCTTACACACAGCACACAAACAGCACCCTCACACACAGCACACAAACAGCACCCTAACACACACACACACAGCACACTAACAGTACCCTCACAAACAGGACCCTAACAAACACACACACAGCACACTACCAGTACCCTCACACACAAACAGCACCCTCACACACAGTACATTAACAGCACCCTCACAAGCGCACACACACAAACAGCACCCTCACACACAGTACATTAACAGCACCCTCACAAGCGCGCACACACAAACACCCTCACCCACATAGCACACTACCAGCACCGTTACACACACATCACACTAACAGCACCCTCACACAGCACACACACACACAGCAGTATATGTGTATATATATATATATATATATACATATATATACATACATATATATATATAAAAAAACAACCAACAATAATGTACCTTATACACCTTAATATATATGCAAAAGATACTTATCAAATGAAGATGAATACAGCCTCCCTCAGATTGCTTCCCAGCTAGCGATCAACT